ATCTTTTAGAGGTCTGGAGTTAGTAATTTCCTGAACCCAGAAAGCAAAATTGCTTGAGCCAAATCCAGAGTCACCCCTGGGCTTATTGGTTACAGACTTGCCCATGCTATGATAGGGTAAGAGTAGTAACTGAGCTATTCTTTGACCTTCATAAAATTGTACGGTTTTGCTAGGGGGAACAACAAGTACCTGGATTTCCTCTGTGTAGTCAGAATCCATCACTCCAGGAATCACAGAAACTCCTTGTAGAGACAAGGAACTTCTTCCTAATATTATACCCACTATTCCATCCAGGAGAGGGTTCTTCACTCCCGTTGGAATTGGGGTAACTGGAACATCTGGAGTTAATATTGTTGTGGTGGAGGAACAGAGGTCCGGTCCTGTACTCCCTGGGGTGGCTCTGATGAGTTCTGAGATGGGACAAAGGTAACAAATGGGTTCATGCTGGAGGCTGCCCCTATTGTTATTTGGGGCCGGGGCTGGCCCCTCTGCCCATTTCCCGGAATCGGTACCGTAGATCATTGTTTAGTTAACAGAGTGCCATTTTTATGAAATTTGGATTTGCAATCCCTAACCCAATGAAATCCTTTCTGACACCTAGGACACAGAGACTTTGGTCGAGAGCTCTCATTAGGCTATTGCATCGGGGCTTCCTGCAACCCTTGTTTAGCTGGGCAGTCCCTACTAATATGGCCAGGCTGCCCACAGTTATAACAAGTTAAAACCAAGCTGGTTTTCTTTTTTATTGTTACCATTTTGCATTCCCTGCACAAATTGTGCATAAGTTTCTTCCTTCAAGGCGGCGGCTATTGCCATACCCTGCATAACGGCCAGGTTAATATCAGCACACTGCCTGATATAATCAGTTAATTGTCCTGTTCTTCTAATCAGTCTAATCAAAGCTTGGCAAGTACTGTTAGCATTCTCAAAAGCCAACTGTTTAATAAGGAAATCTGCTGCTTCTGCATTAGAGATTACTCTATTTACTGCTGTTGTAAGTCTAGAGAGAAACTCCTCATAAGTTTCATCTGTTTTCTGCTTAAGATCAGATAGTGAGGTAGTCTGAGTAGAATTAACAGGTAACTTCTTCCAAGCCTTACTTGCACAAGAATTTACCTGGAGTAAAACTTCCTTGGGTAAAATTAGTTGACTGTCAACTGACTCATATAATCCTTTTCCCAACAACATATTGCTAGAAATATGAAACTGATTTGGACCCCTCTGCTGGTTAACAGCCCTCTGGATCCTTACTTGATCTTCAAATTCAGTTTCCCATAGTAAATAGGCTCCTCCTGACAAACAGCTTTTAGCAAGTTGTCGCCAATCTTGTGGTGTCATCCACCGAGTGGCAAATTGTTCCATAATAGTAATAGTATAAGGAGCCGTAGGACCATACCGAGTACAAGTCTCTTTAAGTTCCTTAATTAATTTATATGGTAGTGGCTCCCAGTGAGGTGCCTCATTTACTGTGCCTTCTTCCATATAAATTACTGGAAAGCAAGAAGACAAGGTAAAATCTGCCTCTTTCTCAACCTTTTTTCTGGCTCCCTGCATACCTACATTAGCTGGAGACACATACCCAGGTGTGAATTTCGGTGTTTTCACCTTATTTCTAGTAAAGGGTATGGGAGGAGGTACCTTGGCAACATTATCAGGATTTTTTCACTTATGATACCCAATCACTTCCTCCTCCAACTCCATTTCCTCCTCAGGGAAAAATTCATCATCTAAAGGAGGCACCGAGGCTACGGCCAGCAGGGGAGTGTCTTTATTTTTGGCCGGAATTTTAGAGAAATTGTGCTGTGGATTTAAAGCACATCGGATAATATTCCATAAAGCTAAGGCATACAAAATGCAAAAGGCGATTTGGTTCCTTTATCAGACAATATATTCAAAATACTAGTAGACATGTTCCTTTCTTTAGATTCACTCTGGCCCATGATTCTATCACGGCTCTTAAACTGCTCACCCTTCCTTGCTCTGCCTGTCTCTACAGAGGGGTCCATGGCACCCTGGGTGAGGTCCTATCCGTCCCAAAAAAGAAAAAGAAAGCTTACCTTGAGGTCCCATGTTCAGGCGCCACTTGCCTGGTCCAGCCGGGTTCAGGGTACCCCAAAGGTGGAGACGGCGTTGGCGATTGGGGGGAAGAAAGAGAGAGAGAGAGAGGGGGGGGGGGGGAAGAAAGAGAGAGAGAGAGAGAGAGAGAGAGAGAGAGAAAGAAAGAAAGAAAGAGAGAGAGAGACTGGACTCCAGTCTAGTGCAGAAGCCGTTTAATGGGAATTACAACTAGTCTTTTATACACAGTCGGGTGTGTGAGGAGCATTCCCCACCCACCGGATGTTCTTTCAGGTATAATCCCATAACCTAATCGATGAAACCTTAATCCATTTATTCAACTTCAATAAATCCCAAGATCATGACCCAGAAGCCTGTGACCAATACTAAGGCTCTTAGATGTGACCCGAGTTTGAAGTATAAGTTGTGTGAAAGCCAAAACTGCAGTTTGTGGAAGAATGGGAGCAATGAGCTTCTAAAGTTAGCTTGTGTTCATCCCGGTCTCAGAGTTTTTATGTTTTGAATTCACAGGAGCTTAATCTGGTTAGTGCTGAGTAGAAAGGGGGAGGAAATGGGATCAATAGCTCCCAAACACATCCTGGTGGTCTCGGGGTCAACGGCCCTTCCTGATCCCTAACGCTCAGTGGGCCTCGGTGGCTGACTCCCAACAGTTCCCCTCTTTTTTTTGAACCCTACCTAACTGTTCTGACATAACTGTCTCCCCAGTCCTGGCTCTTTGGACCGCTTATTCCTCTTTTACTTGGGCCTGTGTCTCTGTGTTGTCACTTACTTTCACTGTCTCTTCACATCGAGCCTCTGCCCTCCCAGTCTATGGGTCTCTCTGTCTGTCTCTGTCTCTGCCCCTCCCTCTGCCCGCCCTCCTGCTGTCGCTCCTCTCTCCTTGCCCTTAAGTTTCTATGCCGCGCTGTCTCTGCTTCTCTTCACTGTCTCTGGGCATCTCTCTGCCCCAGTCTCTTTCCCGTTTCCCCCATCGCATTTCAAACATCCACTGGTTCCCCAGGTGGCCCTGGCGACGTCCGAGTCGATTACCCGGTTACCATGGAGACGCTCAGGCCCGCCCAGCGCCCGGGATCACGCGTGGAACGTCATCGCGCGGCCGTACGCTGGGAAGACACTGCTAACTACATCACCTAGAATGCATCGGGCCGCGCCGTTCTTCGTGTTGCCGGCCGGGGAGCGCAGAGGCTGCCCCTTCCTAAGCCCGGAGTTGCCGTGGAGACGGGGGCAGCCCGGCGGCGTCCTAGTGCGGGCCGTGATTGGTGCAGAACCCTGCCAATCCCGGGAAGGCCCGTGGAGAAGCGAGGAAAACGTGGTGGGGGGCATGCGCGGTCTGGGAGGCGGTCCTGTCATCCATTGCCTCCGAGAGGCCTGTACTTCACGAGGCTGGGAGCATGGGAAGAGGCGGCCTGGAGCGCGTCCTTATCACTGCGACCCCCGCTGCTCCCAGGAAACGGGAGGAAGGAGGATAGAAACGACTGCGAAAGTGGGGGAGGGCCAGGAGGCGCGCGAGCTCGTGCGCGGAGCATCCTGGGAGACGTAGTTCGGCGGGGAGGGGAGGTCTACGAGTGCGCAAGCTCAGGAGCGCGGAGCGGCCCGCTGAACGCGGAGGTGAGGGCGGGGGCCTCTCGTCGGGGAAGGCTTGGGCTGGGACAGGGGCGGAGGCTGTGGACTCGGGGGTTTTGGCTGCCCGGCGAGGCTGGGGGCACCGGGCGAGGCTCCGGGCATTCCCTGCAGGAAGGCCCTGCGCTGTCACGCGAGGTTCGTCAGTCACCGCTCGTTGCCACGACGACAGCCTTTGGGAGCCCCGCCCCGGTTGCCATGGTAGCTCCAGGATCTGCCTTGGCGCCCTAGAACGGAAGTTGCCCACCTGCATTTCTGGGAAATGTATTTCAGGAACCTCACTCGGATCCCGTTTGAGGACCCGCCGGCCTGGCTGTAATTCAGGTTTCTCCCAGGGTTTCGGGTTGACTTGGAACCCTGAGGAGCAGAGGTTTGGCCCACAGGATCAGGCGGTCCTTGAAATCGATGCTACCCGCAGGGGGATGATTCTGCAGTGCCACCCCCTTAATAAACTCAGATTCCTTCACAAAGCCCCAGCTACAGAAGCGATGCGAGCTGGAGGTCAGCCCCATTTGCAAATGGGAAAACAGGCTCACAGGGTACAGCGACCTGGAAATGGATGGACAGAATCTCGAATCTTCCTTGCAGGCTCCTGTTCCAGTAGTCTTGGGGCCTTTGCAGGCCTCCCCTCGCCCTACCTGGAAGCTCCTCATCACTTCCTAGCCCCACCTAAATCAGGAAGCTGAGAAGATAGGGCATTGCATGGTGGGACAAGTTGGACTCAGGGGATGGGACTGAGTAGGGCGCGGGTGCTGCTTGGGAACTAGGCTGCACAGGTGACTTTGCTCAATTTGAGAAGAGGGACTAGGTGGAGGGAGACTGCCCTCTGGAACCAGGCTGAAAAGAGGACGGTGGGACCGAGTGAGGGGCCAAATCTGAGCGACTGGGTGGGAGAGTGGACAGTGAAGTGAAGGGCTGGCCCTGGAATAGGGAGGAGCGGGCAGCAGTGGTGCTGATGCCCAGGCCATGAGCGGTATAAAGACCATCCACCTAGTAAAGGTAGAACTGGGCAGGGCTGAGGTTGACCGTGTAGAAGGGAAAGATTAGGGGAGGCCTGAGAAACAGCCTGTATTTGGAGCAGGATGTCTGTATCAGAGAGTATGCATGGGCCCAGCTAGATAAAAGGCCATGGCCACGAGTGACTCAGCAAGGGCTTCCAGGCCCATGAGTCCATGGGGTACTGTTGCCTCAGTTTCCTCATCTGCCTTCCATACGGGGTAGGTCTGAAGACCAAACAGTACAGCATATAGCAGATACTCAATAAGCATTTGCTGTCACAGTTTACTCTTACTGCAGCAGCCTCATCCTATTCCTTCCCCAGGGGCAGACACTAGCCACGGAGACCAGAGCTGCCACCCCCAATGAGGCCTGCTGTGCTGGGCTCCCCAGGCCACACACCCCCAGAAAATGAGGGGCCTATCATGGTGAAGCTGGAGGACTCTGAGGAAGAGGGTGAAGCTGCCCCATGGGACCCAGGCCCTGAGGCTGCACGCCTGCGCTTCCGGGGCTTCTGTTATGAGGAGGCAGCAGGACCCCAAGAGGCCCTGGCCCAGCTCCGAGAGCTGTGTCGCCAGTGGCTGCGGCCAGAGGTGTGCTCCAAGGAGCAAATGCTGGAGCTCTTGGTGCTGGAGCAGTTCCTGGGTGCACTGCCCCTCGAGATCCAAGCCCATGTGCAGCGGCAGCAACCAGGCAGCCCTGAGGAGGCTGCTGCCCTGGTAGACCAGCTGCGCCAAGAGCTGGGCGGGCCTCGGAGATGGGTGAGTCTGTGGCCCTGAAGGGAGGGTCAGGACTGGAGCATTGTCCAGTTCTGCCCCACCCTGAGTGGCACGATGCTTGGTCAGACACACATCCTCCCACATGGTACAAAAGTGGCCGACTGCAACAGAGGCCCTATGCAAAGCTGCCCAGGGCAGAGGGGATCCAGTTGCCTTGCCAGCTCATTCCTGAATCACCTGGAGCACATGGACACAAGGGCTGCAGGGTAGAGGAAGACAGGGAGGGTGCTGAGCAGCCTGGGGTGTCAGCAGCAGGAGAGGGGCTGCAAGTGGTTCCTTCACTCCTTGCATAGGGCCTAGGGGGAGGTGGGTCCTTAGAGGATCTAGTCAGAAGATGTTTAACAGGCAGACCCCTGGGGTCCTGCAGTGGGATGGGTGCAATGGACCCTAGATTGCACCCAGTCTCCCTCTCTGCTTGGGCTTCTGATGGTGGGGGCACCTCCCCAGGTCACAGTCCAGGTGCAGGGCCGGGAGGTCCTATCAGAGAAGATGGAACCTTCTGGCTTCCAGCCCCTACCTCAAACTGAACTTCAAACTCCAGAGCCTGGGCCAGAGACACCTCCTGGGACCATGCAGGAATCACCGCTGGGCCTTCAAGTGAAAGAGGAGCCCAAGGTTACAGAGGAACCAGGTGAGGGCAGGCAGGGGAAGCAAGGCCTCAAGCTTGGTTGGATGAACTGGGGGCCTGCCCTGAGCAGTCAGTCTGGAATTCACTGGGTCAAGTTTCTGCTAGATGGAAGGGTCCCACATGCCAGCTGCCCCCACATCCCACCCAGTCCGGCCTTGCCTCAGGCCCAGCCAGTGCTATCACTGCCCCTTATGTACCAGGCATGACTGTCATAGCCCTCTGCATGGAGGCAGCTACTGGGGATTCCCTGTGTGGGAGGCATGTGGAGTTCACTCCCCAAGCAGATCCACTGGGGGCTATCTACTGGTCACTGGGGAATCGACAGCAGGTAGGGGGGGCACAGCTGAGGGAGGACCCCACAGTGTTGGGACATGTCCCCCGTTTACCTCCCAGGCAAGGCACCTGAATTTGCCCACATCCCGCCACTCTTTTGTGGACCCTTGTACAGCTCCACTGACAATCCTGTCCCAGAGCTCACAGAGGGCCCGGGGTGCAGACTTGGGCCCACCTCATCCCACTGCAGCTCAACAGTGCCCTGCTTCACCCAGCCCCCAAGCTGGGCCCACAGCTGTCCTGTGCTGCAGTTGCTCATCCAATCCCACACCCAGACCTCCCCCCTGCTGGGATGCTGGCATCTGGCATACCACTGAGCAGGGCAGTGGGTGGGAACTCCCTTAGGTTGCCTGACCCCTCTCTTCCTCTCTAGAGCCCCTGGAATCTGGTCCTCTAGCTGCCACTGAGGAATCTGCACCCCCCCTCCTGCCTGAAGAGGCCCAGGTGAGCCCTGCATAGGCCTTGCCCTCCTTCCTGCCCTGGGAGCTTTCATGGGTGGTGTTAGGTAGGCCCCTCTGTGAGCTCAGCTGAACACAAATGAGTGGTGACCACTGTGGTTTCAGGACTGTGGGACGGTTCTGGACCAAGCCTTTCCCCACAGCAAGACTGGGCCTGAGGGGCCCTCGTGGAGGGAGTACCCCCAGCCCCTGTGGCATGAAGAAGCTGGGGGCATCTTCTCTCCAGGTAAGTGAGAATGGGGCATGGTGGGGCTAAGCCCTCTGCATGAACAGCACCACGGCTGCCAATCCTGCTCCTGACCTTACCCAGGAAGCCCTACTGTTCTAGCATCTCAGACTGCCCCTTCCCTAGACCATCCCCTGCAATGATCTGCCCTCAAAAGCCAAACCCACCAATGGCCCCATGGCCCCTCTAGCTTATGCTGTCAACCTCAGTAAAAGTTCCTGAGAGCAGGACCAGTGTTCTCCACACCCACATCCTCTCCCAATTCTGGACTCTTGGATGGCTCCCAGACTCTGGGCTTGCATCCTTATGGTTGGGCATTGGGGCAGGGAGGGGAATCTGGCAAGGACAGAAGGTCAGTAGACAGGGCAGGTGGGCAGAGGGACAAGCAAAGACAGACCTGTCTGATCACCCAGGTACCACAGGCCAAAGGCTCCGCTGTCCTCATCTGCCTCCATCCAAACTCCTCCCACACCCCATCTTCTATTTCTCCCTGTTCCCCAGACCGAGGGTCTCCTGTTTCTTGGTTCACTCCCTGGTTTGGGTAGAGCTTTCTGTGAGTTCTGGTGTGAGAGGTAAAATTCTGAGATGTCACATATCTGAAACACATTTATCTATCCTTCAATATTAGATTGAAGTTTGGCTGGAAGGATTATTTTTGTTAACTCAATCACAGGTCTTTTTTAAAAATCACTGTTGTTGGTGATCCCTTTCAATTTGAAATTTGCCATGAAATTTTTCTTCGCTTTCCTTCCCCTCTTCTCTGTTTCTTTGTTGCCTAACTCTTGGCTATCAGCCTCTGGGACAGATCCTCTAATATTCTTATCTTTTCATTCTAATTTTCCATCTCTTTGTCTTTCTACTTTATTTTCCAGGAAATGTTCTCACTTGTATCTTTCAGACCTTCTGTTAAGATTTTTCATTTCTAGCCGGGCATGGTGGCTCATGCCTGTAATCCCAGCACTTTCAGAGATAGTTGCGAGAGGATTGCCTGAGTCCAGGGGTTCGAGACCAGCCTACTTGGTGAGACCTCACCTTTACAATAAATCAAAAAAAGCCGGGCTCAGTGGCTCAACCTGTAATCCCATGCCTTTGGGAGGCTGAGGTGAGTGCATTGCCTGAGCCCGCAGGTTCGAGACTCGCTTGGGCAGCGAGACCTCATCTCTACAATAAATCAAACAAATCAGCCAGGCGTGGTAGCGCATGCCTGTAATTCCGGCTACTCGGAAGGCTGAGGCGGAAGAATCACCGGAGCACAGCAGTTCGAGGCTGCGGTGGCCAGGAGCGGCCACTGCACTCCAGTCTGGGCGACAGAGTGAGACTCCAACTCAAAAAAAGAAGAAGAAACAGATTATATTCTCTGACCACAATGCGGAGAGAGGGGGAGAAAACCACTAAAAAACAAAAACAAATGAAATGGAATCAAAGTCCATATGTCCCTGGGAACCTCTGGATCAAACTGTACCTGAAGTCAACGCTACTTTGGACTTTTTGGTTATTTCCACTGGACACCCTCTGCCCTTCCTTTTTTAAACCAAGTTCTCTGATACCTGCCACACAAACATCCTAATATCAACATCTGAAAATTTTATACTCAGTCTAGTTATAAATCAAGTGTGAAGAAAGAATAAAGATGTTTTCAGACCAAGTGTAGGTCTCATGCAGCCTTTCTCAGGCAGCTTTATACTTACAGATGAGTAACAGCAGGGGCTGAAACACAGTGGATTGAACCCAGGAGAATGACAGACGGAAAGTCCCAGAATGCAGCTGTGCGGCAAACCCAGGAAACAATCAGTCTCAGGGAACTAGGTATCCAGGAAGGAAGTATCTTGGAAAAGGAGGCTTTGTACGTTGGATAGTGTTCTCTGGAGAATGGAAAACACTTAAGGATGCAATAAAGCCAACCAGGCCAGAAAAAATAAGCAACTAGAAGCTCCAGGCGAAACGAGAAAAAGACGTGTAAACAAGCACATTTCTTGGATCTGCAGTGAATGATATTCACATGGTCACAGTAACCTAAACACTTTATTGAGTGTCAGCTTTTGGGATCAGAGCACTGACACAGCGCAGATGAATGTACTATTTCAGAGCAGAATACCAATAGCCTCAACCTTGACAAAGTCGAAGCTGTCAGGTAGAGACAGCACAAATGGGAAGAATAAAGAGAAAACGGCAAAAGGAGGAAGCCCCAGACTCGCACCTTTTGTTAGTAACCAACAAAGTAAAACTGGGAAAAGCAACCAATAATGGTAAAAGAGAGAAAACTGCGTGGAAGATAGGACAGGAGTGAGCTAAGTCCTTAAAACATAAATTTTTATGTTTTCCCTTTTCAGACGATGGACACTTGGGTTGTTCCTAGCTTTTGGCTATGAATAACAGTAATGTGAATGTTCACGTAAAAGTTTGTGTCTGGACATATGTTTTCATTTCTTTTAGGTATATGACAAAGAATAGATTCACCAGGTTTAATGATAACCCTATATTTAACTTTTTGAGAAACTGCCAGAATTTCTTTCACAGTGGCCACATTATTTTCCCTTCCCAACAGCGGTGCAAGAAGGTCCCAACTTCTCCACATCCTCTCCAGCACATGTTATTGTCTGACATTTTGATTTTAGACAAGTGGGTATGAAAGTGGAATCTCCTTGCAGTTTGGATTGTATTTCCCTGATGGCTCAGTGATGATCTTTTCAGGTGCTTATTGGCCGTTTGCATGTCTTCTCTGAAAAAAGATATCTATTTGGATACTTTGCCCATTTTTGAATTGGGTTGTCTTTTTATTATTGAGTTGTAACTGTTCTTTAAATATTCTAGATATAAGTCCCTTATCAGATATATAATTTGTGAGTTTCTCCCATTCTGTGGGTTGTCTTTTCTCTTTCTTTCTTTCTTTCTTTCTTTCTTTCTTTCTTTCTTTCTTTCTTTCTTT